AGGCTCTGTCACACACACAAAAAAAGTCCCAGGCATCAACCAGCACTGGAGATACACTAAGGGAATAAAACTGATACAGGACAGGTGGCGCCAGACCTGCCGCCTTAGCCCTGGCGGTGTTGGTATGCGGCAGCCAACAGAGGAACCAGCAGGCTGGAGGGTAGGCAAGGGGGCCCTAGGAGGCTCCAGTAGCCGAAGGGGCCAGACAACTGCTGAGGCTTCGAAGACACAGGCGCCTTGGTTTCTCCTTCCCAGTGCACTTCTGGCTGAAGGCGGAAACCCCCCTATCCTAGGGCTGGTCAATTTCATATAAGTTTCCTAAGCCTGAGTGAAAGGGATTGCAGCCCTTCATTTACTGAGTTCCGGCCCCAAGCTGCTAAATGTAAGGCTGAATGTCACTTTAGAGGACCCACGACCGCTAAATGTAACAACTGAGTTCCGGCTAAATAACCTCATGCGACTCTATATACCCCTGAGCAAAGAGCCCAGAGAGAGGGAACAAGAGAGTTTGTTTCCCGACCTAGGTCCTCTGTGCCAGGAGCTTTGGTGTTTTTGTATTCTTTGTTTCTGTAAACAAATCCTGTGTTACCACTGATCTGTGGTCCGTGGATTCATTTTTCCAATCACCGAGACCAAGAACCCGAAACTCCGGTATCAATATCATAGAAAGCAAAACCAGAACCGTCCAGGCTACTAGGGAGGTGCACCCACAGGCACGGAGGTGACGGGGGAAAACTGGCACCACCGCAAGGAGAGGCAGATGAGAGGGAGCGCGCGTGGGGCTCAGTGACAGTTTGCCAAGGGTGACCCCCCCACACCAGGAAGACTTGGGCCGCCGGTTCTCCCCGTGAGCCAAAGCGCTTCTGGGCAGCCTCGCCCCAAGTGACCCAGCCCACCCGGTCGCCAGAAGCAGGAAGTATCCGGCCGCCAACCCGCATAGAGCGCGGCACAACCACCACCCAGGCCGGCGAAAGCGGACGCTTCACGCCCAGAGACGCAGCAGGACGAAGGGGCTGAGGGCTCGAGGGCTGTGCCGGGGCTCCCCCCCGAGTCTCCCACAGTGCTGCAACCCTGGCGGCGCGGGGCTGTCGGGGTCCCTGCCCCAAGATCCCCTCACCTGCTCGCAGTGGAAGTGGCCAGGAATCGGCTTCCACCCCGCACCACCAAGGTCTGCCCGCACAATGCCAGCCCCGCGGAACTCGCCATAGGCTCACCAGCCGCGCCACCTCCCACGTGTGCCCACTCGGCGCCCCTTCCGGTCGCCGTCGGACAGTGGCGTCACGCGCAGTCGCAGCGGAGTGACGCACCGCCCTGTCCCTGCGCGTGCGCAAAAAGCGCTGTGCGCTTAGCTGCCGCTACTCTGGAGCAATTTGGCGTTCACAGGTTGCCTGGGGCCGGTGACAATGGATTAATCCCAGACGCGATTCCAAGTGCACTCTTAGTGTTGGTTTCTTCCCTCCGGCTGGGCGTCACCGCCTGCAGATCCTTTTCCCGCTGCACCTGGCGCGCCCTGGACAAAACAAAATACCTACTTGGAGCCAGTAAATGTTCCTTCAAGAAATAACTGAGTTTGAGTGAATATCAGGTCCCAGAGTGGGGTTCCTGGGTGGGGGCGTCTTGGCCGTCAAGGCTGGGGACGATCCTCCTTCTACTCTTAACACAAGCCGAAAACACCTCAGAGTCTCCCCCTGGAAGTGATACTTTCCACCCACACTGCGGCTGTTTACTAGTGTTCTTCCTCAGATCCCCCAAAGTCTCATCTAATTTCGCATCAGACTCAAAAATCGAGGATGTTCTGGTCTGTCTAGGGTCGGAGGTGACCTCCCATCCAGCTCCTCTCCAGCTTAGACCTGCAGACTAAAAAGATAGCTTGTCTACTGTACACACCCAGAGTATGGTGGTGAAACAAGTAAGGGTTAGCAAAATAAATACGTGGGCAGGGGATGGGAGGGGAAGGAAGAACAGGAGACACTAGAGTGATCGCTGGTCCCTAGCAATTCTAAAATCCACTTGAAAGACATTTTCAAGTCCTACAAAAGCAAGAAACATTCCTCAACTAGGCCTGGCCTTCAGCATCTGCCCAGGCCGTATCTCAGCTTGACTCTTACCTTGGCCCTCTTGGGTATCTCCCTCTTTTTTCAGTACTTTATTTGCTATTTTGAAGACTGTTCCCTTTGAGCAACTTTCTCAAGTGACTTCTTGCCTTTAACAAATTGAGGGCCCAGAGGGCTTTTTACACTTTAAAAGGTCCAGTCCATGTTAACCCAGCTGGCAATGCTTTATAAAATACAACTTCCTTAAGTATTTTGTGGGCTTCACATGAATCTGATTCAGATGAACCCCAGACCAAGAAGCCATTCCCACTGGGCTTCTGAGAGAAGCTTCTTCCTTAAGACTTAATTAAGGCCTTATTATTGGGGAAAGGGTATACTGGGCATTGAAATCCTCAAAATCTCCTTGGCTTTGACATAGTTCTTGAAGCCATATTTTACTGGCATCATCCTGAATTTGATGTTTGTCCCAAGTTTTTATTTTGAGGATTTTTTTCCAATAACGGAGCCTGATGGTGAGCGACCCTCCCTCCGCCTCCACAGCTGAATGCGTCCTCTAAATTCTGCTTGCAAACTGGCCAGTTTTTTTAGCACTTTTTTTTTTTTATAATGTCTTAACATATTCAAGTAAAAGAAACAGAATGGGCTGAGTTCGGCAGCTCAGGCCTGTAATCCTAGCACTCTGGGAGGCTGAAGTGAGTCTGTTTCTGCCAGTTTATCTTGCTACTTCCATGAATCTTCAACTTTGAGTCCAAGGGTCCCTAGTCAATTTAAATTGTGGAAGGGCCCATTTCCCTATATGTTCATCATCGATGAAATATGGAGCATGGGGTAGGGACAGGGGAACTTGAATCAATAGGAAGAGAAGCTGAAAACTAATTACACCTACTCCACAATTAATGCCCACCTTCGGGGGCAAATCTTTGCTCTGAGAGTTATAGAAGTTCAGGTAAAATAAAGTTTCCATTTCCAATCTGCCTAACTCTAGTATTAGAGTAGGCATAGGCCCTAAACAAGCTCGTGCCGTGGAGGAAGGGCAGTGGTTAGTGGTGACCACGTTGAGACAGGGTGAGGATCTCATTTGACGCCGCAGCTGTAACCACGGAGGGAGGCTGCATGCGTGACGTGGACCCAGATTAATGTGCTGAGAAGCTTTAAAACCCACAAAACACAGAGGACTATCAGGTGGCACCAAAAATGGTAAGGGCATGGTTTATACGGCTGTGCGCCGAAGAAAGATTTCAGATTAAAGGCT